TTGGGGAGAAACCAAGGTGGCTTTCTGCCACACAGCCAAAGGAAGAGAAATTACTGGCTTCACTGGCCTTGCTCACCCAATGTTCTCCCTGAACCAAGCTGTGCCCCCCAGTTATATTCCATAAAGCCTTGCTGAGGTCAGTAAGGTGACAGTTGACTCCCCTTAGTCCTCAATCTCTCCTTAGACAGAGAAAGAGAGAGAGTACACATTGTAAGAAGTCACTTAGGCCACAAAGTTCATTGGCTGCTGATCTGGGATTCTTCAAGAGCCTCTATCACTACAGCTGGGTGAACACCATGACATTGTCCAGCTGAGATGTGGCCCACCTCCCTACATGGTTGCAGGCCAATTACTGTGAAAAACAAGTGCTGACTTTGCAGTTATTACCAGAGCTAAAAGTACACACACATGACAGAATCTGGTCACAAGCCTGTTGGAAAGCAACCAGGTGGTCTTGGTGCCTTTCTGTTAAAAGAACTCCATGTCTTTGGACCCTAATGTCTGTATTTGCATCCTGACTGAATGGAAAAGGAAACAGAAAAGCCATTCTTGTATTACACTGAAAAACTCAATAGCTTCTTTTAAAACTAAATCAAACCAGACAGTAATACAGTTAGAGAAGACTTCCTCTTTCTCCCCTTCCTCACCTACATAAATGTTTATGGAGATTTTCCAACCAGAGTGACTCACTGCTTTGTAAAGGATACATTCAGCCCATTTCAACCTGCAGGAGATGCACTGCACTCACCTAAAAATGGTCTGCAGGTGTGCCTCTCGTTCCCTCTCTAACTGGAGTTGCTCCTCAATGACACGTTTCATCCATGCCGCATCTGCAATAGCTTGCTCCCGTCTGGCAGACTGGAGCCGCTGGTCCTCATCTTCCTTCTCAAGGAGGGCTAGAAGTATTTGTCTATCCATCTCCTAGAGACGAGCCAGAAGAACATATGCACAACAAGTTGTCAAGCCAGCATATGAGTAGATTCCCTGCACACACAAACTGCCAGTGTCTCAGCATCAAGACTGATCACAGATAGGACACTTGCAACATCACATTCTCGCCACCGCTCTGACCTGCTTGTGTTTCAGCTCTGCCACCAGGAGATGGACAGAGCTTGCCGAAATGCTGGACACATGAGAGATGCAAACAAAGCAAGTAACAAAATGTGCTGAAGGAAGAGGGCTTTTCAGTGCACTCAGGACATGGTGGATATAACAGATATGAGATAAGAAAGGTCTTCTTACCAGTTCCTCTTGTATCTGCTGTGCACGTTGTTTTAATTTGGCATTATACTGATGTCTCAAAAAGCGACTGGGAGGGAAAAAAAAGAAAAAAGAGATAAAGCAATCTCAAAGCCCCATGTTTTTACTCAGTAACATTCAAGGATGGGATTGGTGACCAGGGTGCTACCACCTACCAGCATTTGACAGGACAGAAGGGGATACAGTCCATGCTGCTTTCATACAGCATTTGTTTTTTTTCTATGATATTTAAACTGCTTGCCTTCCCTTTGCATATACAGCCGGCAGCAGCACCAATGACTCCCCACACAGAGCAAGTGCCGCCCCAGATACAAACCGTGCCTGTGTTGGAGCCCCCTGGCACTATACTGTATCACATCATACCCAAGCTCCAGCTTCTTCCTGCACTCCTCCATTTGTTTCCTTTCTTCCTCTAGCTCTTCTAGCTCCCATTTCTGCTTCAGTAAATTCTCCTGCTCTTTCTTCAGTTTAGTTGCCTGTTTATGAAAGAAACAGCACCTCAGAGTGATTAGGAAAGGGGAATCCATCAAAATGTGCTTGCCACCGTAAAAGAGCAGCTGCACTGGCTGAATCAGGATCTGCTAGAAAAGACTGGCCAATTCCCTGTACTGCAGCACTTGAGACGGAAACAAAACCTGTTTCTTGGGATCCCCATGAAGAAGTAAGGGAGTGAAACCCAGTGACACTGTGAGCCACCTTCTCAGGTATTGCCAAATTCCAGCTTTCCACAATTAAAGCAGCACCTCAGAGGGAAGCCTTTGTACCAGCATGTTTTACTGCCAGCAGCAAGATGGGTGCCAGGAATCTCCTCCCAGTTACTGTCCTAGGGCCTACATTAATTTCACCCACACCTTGCCATGCTAGACTATTAGAGATCTAATTAGGAGCGCTGGCTGGAAAAAGCCTGAAGGCTGCCACACCTAGCCAGGTGCCTAAAATCAGCCTCCTTTCTCAGATGCGAGCGCTAAGAACAGGATGCTCAGATATTTCAGGAGGAACAAACAAAAGCCCATCACTGAACCTCACAGCCAGTGTACCCAGAGAGAAGGGAAGACAAGAGGGTCATCACCCGCAGAAGGATGAGTGTGCAGCCTGACCTCTTCCCTTCCTGTATTCCTGAGCTGGAATCAACTCTTCTCCCTTTTCTGGACTTTAAGATTAGAGTTGCACACGGCTTCAGACAAGGGGAAGCTGAACAGTTACCTCCATCTCCTGCAGCTTCAGTTCTTCCATTTGCTGCAACAACATCTCAGCTCGCTGCTTCTCTTCTAGCCGCCTCTTTTCTTCCTC